GACAGTAAGCTCTACAGGTCGCTCAACCAACCTAATTTTGGACTGATTTCGTTAGGTTTTGGCTTATTCTGGTGCTCTCACACTGAGCCTGAAATAGGTGAGGGTTTCAGGTTTCGGTAGGAGGCATCTTTATCTCTGAAGCAGGTACAGGACCACAAACCGCAGCAGTGAAGATTCACTGCGGTTGGGGTTTTTGGGGGGGAAATTTAAAACACAAAACCCCCATAGTTTGTTTTTTTTTTTTTCTCCTGCAAGGAGCCCTGGGTGAAGGGAGGAGCGGGCTGAAAAATTCTGGCTGTGATTTAGGTGCCGGGGGAAGGATTCAGCAGGTGTAAAAAATTTGATAGAAAATGACTGAAATAAAAGTCTTGCCTGCAAAGGCGCAGCTGCTGCAGAAAATAGAGAAGCTGTGAGGATGTTTTGTACATGTTTCAGTTGGTTCTGGCCTGGATGAGGCCACAGATCGATACGTGAGGGCCCCTCTTCCGAATTCCTGGCACCTAGGAAGCGGTTAACTTAAATATAGCGGCAGGTCAGATCCTCAGCCCCCTTCTCCCTTTTCAAAACTCCCACTGGTGTGTAGGAGCATGGGGCACTGCAGCGACTGTGGCTTTTCCTTCCTGACAGAACACCACAGTGCCCCTCAACTGCCCGTTAGTCATCCATCAGAACCAGAGGGCTGATTCAGAAACCCTGGTGTGGCAGCCAAGTCCTCCTTTCTCGCCGCCTCCACGTTGATTCCGCCTTTCCCGCCTAGAAAGATTTGGAGAGGTCTTTTGTGCTTCCGTAGCAGTTTGTGTAGGTGACTGGTCATCTCTCCCGGTGAATCGCTGCCTTCCCCACCATTTTTTTTTCCGAGAGAGCCCTTCCACAACCTGGCAAAACCAGTCCTAGGTTGGGCTTCTAATAACTCTCTGCAAGGAAATTTAAATCTGGAAGGGCTGAACAAAAAGCAGTTTTAAGGCCATGTCCTTTTTCACTGCTGTGACAGCAAGGTGCTTGTTCCTTCTGTAGGACTTGGGGAATAGCCCGTGGAAATTTTCCCTGGCCTCTCCATGACCCTGGTGTACAGGGAGTTAAATTCAATCGTCTCTTTTTGACCTTGATCTCTTGAACAAGGTCTTCACAAGACTTTTGGACTTAGAGGAAAAACCAGGTTTTCAGAGAGAGATGAGTAGCTTGAGTGGAAGACTCTTTTTTTTTTTTTTTTTTTTTTTTAATGTACCATTTTGTTACTATATACAATGCTGATGCAATTTGAAAGCTCCAAATTACAACATTATCACACGAACCACATCGCTTTTCTTGTGCCCTCTTCCTTCCTCCTCGCCTGTCCCCCTTCCCCTTTGGCTTCCTGGCTAGTGACTTTGCAGACTTTATTCAGGGCAGCCCCTGTCCCATTGACATCCACGGACATGGGATGCTGCTGTGGCCACCCTGGGTGTGTTACTAGTCCAGCCAAGCATGAGATCTGAAGGGTCTGAGTAGAAACAGAGCAGAGATCTTGATTGTTTTTCCACGGCGAGGCGTTTTTGCTGATGAAAGAGGCAGCAAAAATAGCGTGGGGGAAATACAGCCCTAAGAAAGAAATATGTAAATGTCTGAGTGCATTAAACCCCCTCTGCTCAGCCAGGGCTGGCACTCTGGTTTTATGCTGGGCTTTTTTGTGTGGTTGAGGGGTAAATGCTCAAGGGGGTGAAGGGTGATATGAGCACAGACCCAACAGAAACAGGGTGTGGGGAATCCAAATCTGCGCCTCGTCCCAGTGGCAGGTCTCGATCAACAATACTGTCAATTCAGCCCCCGAGGCGGCTGTGGGAGCAGCCGAGAAATGATGTCACCCCTCTCCATGCTCTGCTGGCTGGCTGTTGACTGCTCAAGTGTGAACCTTGTGCCTGAGTCGGCGTGTGACCCTCCCGAATAAATAGGGGTGTTTGTGCGCCCGGCTCCTCAGAGCGTCCCCGGGGCCGATCCTGCCGCGAGGATGCGAGTGCTGGCTGGGACAGGGATGGGAGTCCCCGTGCTCCCCTGGCTGCTGCTGCTGCTGGTGATGTCCCACTCAGCCCACGCAGGTGAGCTCCGGGTGGCTTTGCTGTCAGCTCCCTGCTGTGGGTGGGCATCACCCGCATCAAGGGACTGGAGGAGACTGGGATCTTCCTGCCTGTTTAGCTGAGGGAAAAAGTGTGGCCGTCCTTTGCCAGGGTCTGGTTCAGCTTTCAGGAGCTGTGTGGGAGCAGGGAACTGAGGCAGAGGCACGGCTTCTTACTGTGGTCCCTGCAGTGCTGTCGGTGAAAACATGGAAAGGGAAACTTCCTTTGGCTCTCGGAGCTGCTGCATCTCTAACAGCGCGGTTTGTGTCTGTAAATTGCCCCCTTCTCTCTCTCCCAGCCATCCTGGAGGTGAACGGGAACCTGAGCTGTAGGTGTGCCAAGACAACCTCAGACTACATCAGTCCCAAGAAATATGAGAGCATTGAGATAAGGCCCGTGGGCAGCACCTGCAGGCGCACGGAGATCATGTAAGTGCTGTGCTTCTACCGCCATCCTGCTTCCACGCTGCCTTGCTGGAAACCTTTCCAAAACTGCTGCTGGCTTGCTCCCTGAGAAATATGAGGTGTGGAAATGCACCCCAGGCCACCTGCTACAGGACCCAAAGGAATGTTTCCAGCCAGGGAAAGTGTGATTTCCTCATGCTGGTGCTTAGCAGGGAGCGTGCTGGAGAGGGGGTTGTTTGCAGCTTGGAGGGAGCACATCTTTAAACGCTGGGCCATAACTAATTTTCCCAGAATTCCTTAACTGCTCAGCATTGATACATTTGTAAATCTCCAGAAAAAAACCTGTGTTTGAACCATGCTCTGGCCTTCAAGTCTTTGCTCCACACGGCAATGTGTTGCGTTTTCCTTGTTCCTAGCCATCCCGTGGCTTCCTCTGTCTCTGGCTGCTTTCTCTGGCAGTGTGAGCAAAAACTGACTCTTGCCTATCAGCTCTGGCTGCTCAAATCCCTGCCTTTGGAGGGGACAGGAATGCTCAGGAGCTCTCCTTGCGTTTCAGAATTAAATTAAGAGCTGCAGGGAAGGTGTGTGTGAATCCCGAAGCCCCTTGGGTAAAGAAGCTGCTGAAGCGTATCGCTAGCACGTGAGTTGGTTTGGTGGAAACCCCTTTGGCTCAGGTGGCCTTGGACAGCATTCCAGCACATCTGCACTCCTGAGAAGTGCTCGTGGATCTGGGGGGCTCTCGGGGGGCTGCTGGTGGCCAAGGGACCCGCTCCCAAGGCAGTGAGGGGCAACTCTTTGCTGTGCAAGTTCCACATGACCCAGGGTCATGCTCTCCCTGGCTTATATGCACAGTGCTGCATCTCCAAAAACATTTTAGAGGAAAAAAAAGGTGGGGAGCAATGGCAGGAGCAGGGTTGGCTCATTGCAGGTGCAGCAGTGCATCGGTGCTGGGCTGGGAAACCGCCCCACTCCGTGCCCGTGCCGGGTTTGTGGCTGTCCCAGCGAGTGATTCCCACCCTGGGGAAATGGCAGTGACTTCCTTTGCTTGGGGCAGGAGCTTCCTCCCCCCAGGACCCGCTTTTCTCGGCATTCACACATTTCTCCTCCTTCTGCTTTTCGCAGGAAGAAAAAATAAGTTTCCTGCTAAGGAAGTTGATGCCCAGAGCCCCGAGACGGGCTGGTGGACGATGCCCGGGTGTGCAGGCCTGGCTGCTCCTCACTTTGCCCTCGCTTCCCCCCCTCCTGAAACACTGGCAGTGCCTGTAGGGAGGGTGGCTCACTGCTGGCCCCAGCCCCACGGTGGGTTTTGTGGGGGTGTTTCCCCCTGCATTTGGTCCCCGGATCGGTGTGAACCTGAATCCTTCATTTATTTACTTGCCCGTGGACTGCGAAGCCGTCCTCTGTGAGGGGCTGCTCCTGCTTCTTTAGGAATGACTTTGTGACTCTTTCTGTGCGAAGTGCTCAGCGACAGAGTGTGTGGCTGGGGTTTGTGTGGCACAGCATGGCGTGTCCTGTCCCGAGAGCTCAAGTCCAATAAAATTCAGGATTTTTTCCTGCCGTTGTATTTCCCTGGATCTCCTAGCTTTGAAGTAATATAGGACATAGAACCATAGGACAGTTTGGGTTGGAAGGCACCTTAAAGCTCATCTCGTTCCATCCCCCTGCTATGGGCAGGGAGACCTTCCTCTATCCCAGGTTGCTCCAAGCCCCATCCAACCTGGCCTTGGACACTTCCAGGGATGGGGCAGCCACAGCTTCTCTGGGCAACCTGTGCCAGGCCCTCCCCACCCTCACAGGGAAAACCTTCTTCCCAAAATCCCATCTAACCCTGCCCTCTGCCAGTGTAAAGCTATTCCCCCTCGTTGAGGGTCCTTCCCATCCTAACCTGTTGTTTCCCTGAGTCCTGATTGGAGGCCACGATGTTCCTGGCAGGGAGCTGGATCCAGCCAATGCATCCCACATCCAAGTGCTGGTGTTTGCGATGGGGCTGGGGTTTGCAGGCGGGTGTAAGGCTTTAAAAGTCAATCCAGGCCGAAAGGGAATGGGTGTGAGGTCACGTGGCAGAGTTCTGGGGGAAAAGACCAAAAGCAAATGTCACCAGAGCTCTGCTGGTCTGCGCCTTGTGGGGGGACAACGTGGCTGTAGTAGGAGAAAATAGTAATATCAGGACAGATATTACTGTAATAATAGTAATGCAGGACAGAGAAACCTCTGGGCTCGTGGGGCTGTGTGGGCTAAGAACAAACTTGGGGGGAAACCACTGATCTCTTCACAAGACCCAGCATTCTAGGAAGGGGAAAACGGAGCCAGTTTCGGGAAGCCTGGGCCCCTGCCAAGCCCCGAGCCACGTTTGACCGGCAGCGCTCACTGCAAGCTCAGCGAGCTCCGTCAGCACAGAGCGGGACGGGAGAAAACCACCCCGACCCCGGGGCCGCCCGTGCCGCCTCACTTCTCCTATTTTCCGGCTCAAATAGGGGGATGCTGCCGGTGCCGGGGTGGGGCCGGCATGGCTGCGTGGGCGGCCCTGCTGCTGGGGGTGCTGCTGGCGACCCACCGCCCCGGGGACGCAGGTGAGGCTCCCCTCGGGCGGGCTTGGGGGGGACATGAGGTTTTCGGGGGTGTTATCCTGCCGCCTCCAGGGTTTAAAGCGGGTGATCCCGGTGAGATGTGGGGGCACACGCATTGCACAGGAAGGGTTTTGGGGACGGCAGTGGGATTTCGGGTGATGGGTGAGCCGCGGCTGCGTGTCCCTCCAGCTCTCCTGGAAGCCAATGGCAACCTGAGTTGCCGCTGCCGCAAAACCACCAGAGCCTTCATCCCTCCGGCGAAATACGACAGCATCGAGGTCCGGCCCGTGGGGAGCAGCTGCCGGCGCCTCGAGGTGGTGTAAGTGTGTGCCGGGGGTTACGAGCCTCCCACTCCCCCCACATTCCCTGAATTACTTCAGTGTCATGCTTATTTTTATGGGGGGGGGGGGGTTCGGCGGCTCAAAACCCCTCCACTGCAGGAGGGGGAAGTGACGGTGCTGAAAGCCTGTGTGTTTTCTAGGATTAAGCTAAAATCCCTGGAGAAGGTCTGCGTGGATCCCGATACCCCTTGGGTGAAGAAACTCTTGCAGGACCTCCCTCACCTGTAAGACCTCCCCTCCGCTCCCCCTGAGCACACAGGGCTCCTGGCAGGACCACGGGCATCCCGTGGGGACCTGTCTTCACACGTTCCTCCCCTCTTCTGCTTTTGGCAGGAGGAAGAAAGAGCGTCCCCGCTGAGGAAGCTGCCACCGGAGGGACGGCCAGATGTGCTGGGCCCAGAACTGCCTCCCCTCCCCATCCTGCTGCCACTTTACCCCAGTCCTGGGGGGAGCGTCCTCCCGCCTGATCCCCTGAGACCCTTTTCACTTGGCATTTTATGCCTTTAAACCCTTGACCATGCCAGTCCCTACCTCCCTCCCCTCCCACCCCACAGCCATGCGCTGGGTGTCCTTTTTGAGCACAAGCCAACAGGTCCAATAAAGGTGGCAGCCTGAGGTTACTGTCCCTTGCATCCCTTCCTGTGGCATTCTGGGGGCTCGGGGTGCTCAGGGGGCAGCAGGGGCATGGGGGCACCAGCCTTTCCCCGAAAACATGGGGCGAGCAGGAGGTTTTAGGAGGCGGCCGTGGTGGTTTCTGCCTTTTTCGTGGGCCACGTGCGACGGGGGGGAAGCAAGGCAGGGAAGTTGAAGCGTGGGGGCATCTCCTTTTTCCTCCCTCTCAGGCCCTTCCCAGCCTGTGAAATCCCCTCAGGGCTGGCTATAAGGCAGCCCCTGCATTGGCTCGGGGCGGGCAGCAAGGATGAGGCTGCTCCTGGCAGCGCTGGCCCTGCTCCTGCTCCTGAGCAACTTGGTGCCTGGGGGCAGTGAGTGGCTTTGGGGTGTCTGTGTCCCTCTCCAAATACCTGGATAGTGGCACTGGGTGTCCCAGATGGGGCTGAGTGTGGGCTCTGCTAAGCTTTCAGATTTGTTTCTTGCCTGTCTTTGAGCTTATCTTTCAAATTTGTCTCTCGCCTGCCTTTGAGCTCGAGTTTATCTTTTAAATCCTGTGGCTAAGCTGGAGGGGGATGCCTGGGACTGGGGGATTTGTTTCATGTGTTTAAGTTGCTTCTCTTCCAGACCCCTGTGAAACATGAGTGCTTGGTGGGTGGGCAGTGGGTTTAATTCATAAAATATTGGTTAAGTTTTCAAACCCTGCTGCTAAACCCCCTCCACGCACAGGAAAAGAGGCTGTGCTGGGAGGGATTAGCCTTGCTGCAAACCCCATTAACACCAGCCCGTCCCTGCAAGTGGCCCCATGAGTGTCTGGGATGGGATGGGATAATGGGGAGTGGGATGTCCCCCCAGTCTGCCTCCCCTTCGGGGGGCTGAGATCTGGTGTGGGCTGCTCTGGGGCGCAGGTCTGTCGCTGGAGAGCCTGCTGACCAACATGAGGTGCAAGTGCATCAAATCGACCGCCCAGGTTATCAACTTGGGACTGATCCTCACCATCGATGTCACGCCGCCTGGTCTGCACTGCCGGAGGAAGGAGATCATGTAAGTGCAAAGTCTGGGAAGCAATTCCTGCAAGTTGTGGGTGCTTGTGTCCTCTCTGAAGCTCCCAAGTGTCGGGGTGACTCTTGCAAGGCGCAGGGCTGCCGCTGCCTGTTTTAAAGGGGGTTCCCCCCAGTGTGGCTCTTTTGGGTCAAATCCAAAAATCCCATCTCCCTGCTGTTTGGGGTGTGCCCATATCCGTGCTGGGGAGTTTTCTCTGTCGGTTGGAAAAGCTTTGGGGAAGGGGCTGAGGGGTTTTTGTGGCCTTGCAGCCTCACCCTGAAGAAAAACAAGAGGGTGTGCGTGGCCCCCGAGGCGCCCTGGATCCAGCTGCTCGTCCAGAGGCTGACGCAGAGGTACGCGGGGACAAAGCGGCATCTCCAACGCCCTGGCGGGGCGATGCCTTCCTCCTCACCTCTTCCTTCTTTCCGCTTCTTCCCTCCCACCCAACACGCAGGAATGCCGCCAGGAGGGCAGCGGCGGCGCGGCCGCGGCGGGAGGCTCAGCAGCGGCGGCCGTGCCCTTCCCCTCACGGCTCCCGCGCTCCGGCCCCGCCGCCGTCCCCATCCGTGCCAGCCCTGAGGCGCTGAATTCCCGCTGGGACGGCAGCGACACGACCGCTCCGCGCTGAGACAGGCCGGGTGTCGCGGCACAACGCTGGCGCTTGCCCTGCTCCCAAGGTTTTGGCAGGGGCGGGAGCCTTTCCCTGCCGCCCGACCAAAAAAAGGCTTTCCCCCCCTCAGGCAGCCGGCGTCTCGCTCCGCGTGGTGCGTGCCGCGATATTCCCGCAGGCTACCGCAGCCCAGCCTGGGCACCGTCAATAAATGATCAATGTGCTTCCCCCCCTCAGCTGTGGCGGCTCTTTCTGCCCGGATTCGTGGAAAAATTGGGATTTTTGGGGTGGGCGGTTCGGGGCTTTGACGACCTCCCTTTTCCCAGCTGCCCGGAGGTTATGGAAAGGTTGGGCTGCTTAGCTCTGGCAGCATTGGGATTCTCCCCAGGCCAGGTCTGTGAGGGGAGCCTGGGTTTCTGCTGTCCCCACTCCATGGGAATTCACGGAATAAGCAACTTTCTCTGTTTTTTTGCTCAGGTCTCAGTTGAAGGCTGTGGCTCTCGCATGTTTGGTGCTGAGGGCTGGTGTCAAACCCGGGGAGACCTCTCCTTGTCCCTGTGTCAGGTGGGAACAGCAGCCTCCGAGGGTCCCCCGGGATAGGGACGGAGCCGGCAAGGCGACACCACCTCCAGGGCAAGCAGCATTTCCCACCCCAGGGCACTCTCAATTTAAAGCAAAGCTGCTCTTTCCATAAAACAAGGCGTAAATCCCCCTAAAATCGTAGCGTAAGCATGTCCGGGGGTGACACTGCAGCTTCCCCCCTTCCACGGGCACTTCCATCTCTTCAGGGACGGGACCTCATGGGTGCAAAGGCAGCATACAAGAAAGAAATCTGACTAAAAAAAACCCCCAAGCTCCCAAAATAATCGCTGTGGGATGGTCTCCAAAGAGGATAAGCCCAAGCACTGGGATTACTCTCATCTTCCTCACTGTCACAGGGAGGGATTGCACCATACCTGAATCTAGAGCTTTATAATCTTCTCCTAAAATTGTTTCTAACCTAAAGTGATGCTTGGCAGATAGGGTTAAGATGTAAGTGGTTCCCACCAGGTTCTCTTGGGGTTTGTGTCGTCTTGGAACACTGAAGGGAAGAGAGAGGGAGGGAGGGTCTGTGACCAAACTTGTGTACTCTTATCAAAAAACTGCATGTACTTTGGGAAGACCCCCCGGAAGAACATCCCACCTCCATGGTGACCAAGCAGGACAAGGACCTGCTGCTCTGTGATGCTGATTTTAGCTGAACCACCTCCTGCTGCTCCCATGTCCCAGCGTGCCAGGTAAGGATATCCTTGAGTCCTTACAAGTCTTTCCCTAAATCACCTTCTGAATTAACTCTGAATTTCCACACCACTTTCTCCCTGACCAAAACCAACCCCAGATTAGAAAAGGGATCCGAACCTTGGAGGTCTCAATTTCTCACTCACGATTTGTAGCCGACATCTCCCCAGCCTGGGTGTGGAAAGCTGGTCTCCAAAAGCCCAATACTTGGGATTAAGTGGGAGCTGCAGATGCTCACCACCTTTGTAAAGTGAAGCGTGAGAGGGCAAATGTGGATTTAGGAGTTGGGAAGGTGGGAGCCCATCAGCCCTCCCAGTGTTACCTGAATGCTGGAGATCACGGCGAAGCTGCCTTCTGGAAAGGGGAAGAGTCCAAGATTTTGGATTTCTAGTCCATAAAACACAAAACAGCTGGGACACTCGGGAAGGAAAGCTTGTCTGGGACCCCACTAGGCCATACCTGGAGAAGGAAAGGTGGTCTGAGACCTCACTGGGCCATCCCTGACTGCTCACACTTGTTCCCGCTCCTTAGAGTGAAAGAAGGAAACAAAAATATTCAGCTGCATTGTACAAAATTCTCTTTTTATATATATATATATATATATGTATATATTTACACACACAAAACCCCCATATGGAACAGATTTACCAGGCTGAGTTTTAAAAAGTTGCTTGTAGAAGGGTGTTGGATTTTGTTTTCTCTGCTTGCTTTAGGCAGTGCTGTCGCTTGGAAGTGGACACCAGGCACCGTGGTTTTGAAAGGAAGGAGCAGGGAAAGGCTTGGAGCCTTTTTTCCAGATATTGGCTGCGACATGCTGGGAATTGAGGAGTGGTGATGGAGAGAACAGCTGGGAAAAAAGCACCATCCCCTCACTGCTCCTGCTGGGAAGTGAAAACAGAAGGGAGCTGGACAGGAGAAAGGCAGGTAAACATGTGCATTGACTGAAACATAAACAAGATTTTGTTTGTTTGTTTGTTTGTTTTTTGTGCAGTGTCTGTTAAAAAAACATTTCTGTGTTAAAAACCACACGGTGTGATGGGTGTTGGGAAGTGCATTTGGCAGCAGAGAAAATCCAATGGAACACCTTCCCGCAATGGAATACTTCCACCTTTAGAAACCAAAGGAAAATCCAACTTGAGCAGCTCACCTTTGCCAGGGTTTGGGTTTTTTCCATCCCCATCCTCTCCCACCCTGATTATTACAAAACATTGGTGCTGGGTTTGTGTTTTTATTACTAAACTCCTCTGCAGTTCATAGACAACCATGGGTGACTTGGAAATTCCATTTTATACAAACAGCTCAAAAAAATACTGGGAGTGAAGTATGGTGGGAAACACTGCTCACGTTGGGAGTTACCGTGCGTGGAGGAACAGGAGGAGCAGGTCAGTGCACACCTCCAGAGAAAAGCACACCCCCCCTTCACAAAAAAAACATACAGCAGCTGGTTACGGAAAGGTAATGTCCACAGAATTAAGTTTTTCATGCTATTCTACTTTCCAGTACTCTCAAATCCATGTGCCATAGTCAGGTGGGGAAGGCTGAGGTATATTCAGAGATACCTGCACCCAGAGGAAAATCAATCTCTGTAAAGGGCTTTTTTTTTTTTCTTTTTTTTTGGGGTTGTTGTTTTTGGTTTTTTTTGCACAAATCAGGTGCCACACAGGAATTTTCCCCAGCTCCCATTGCTTCCAATTGATCACAGACCACTAATGATGCCTCCATTTTTTAGGCACTTCTTTTCCAAGGGAAAAGTTGTCGTTTTGTTGAACCCATTTTTGCATTCTGGCCCACCCCACCCCCTCCCCAACCTCCAACCAGAGTCAGGGAACAGTTTCTCCTCTAATTGGGGTCTTTTTTTCCCCCTATGGATAATATCCACAACAAAGGAAATGTTTAATTAAAGAGAAACAGCCTGACTTGGCAGTTTTGCAAGACAGAAGATGGCTCCTTAGTATTTAAAACTAATTTCACAATTTAAATTGGACTTTTTTTTTTTTTTTTTTTAAAGTATACGAATGAGACATAAATATAGGCTTATCAATCTGCTTAAAAATTTCATTCACATCATGGAAAATGTTTTTCATTTATTAAAAATATCACATTTGGAGACTAGAAACAGTAAAGTGCATGAAAAGTTTCAAATAGAAATTCAAGAAAATCTTATAGCAGCAAAAAAGCAGAATAAAGAAAAACTTAAAAACACAGACACGACCTTTTCCTATCACTGTGCCTTTTTTTTTTTTTTAAACATTAAGCAGCCAAACAGGTTTGTGTTTTGTTTTGTTTTTTCAGAAAACTGCATCATGTTTAATGCCTCTTCAGGCACAAGGTTTTGAACTGGCCACCCAGAGCATTAAAAGGAAGGAAAAAAGGATTTCCAACACATCCAAAAGAGCATTAACAGTTGGGAAGGAACCAGCAGCTTTTTAATTCAACCCTGACCGACAACAGCTCCCAAATAAATTGGCATCAGGAGGATTTAGAGCTCGAATTTGATCACAGATATTTGGCTATCTTTGGTTTTCTGATAGTAGTGAGACGAGGGGCAGGGCCACGCCGCCAATCATTTATAGTCATGTATTAAGTGCTTCACTAATGTGCAAATTTTATGTTGGATGCAGAGTTCAGTCTCTGTTTTGGGTTCAAACAAACAGTATTTCTAATATTCTTCCTACAAAACAACCATCTCTAGTTTTGCTTTTCTTTTGTCTTAAAAGGTTGGCTCATTTCGCCACGTTCTGGAAAAAAGCATTACCTTGAAATATGTTAAATGCCAAGTTATTAATCTCATTTGTCCGTTTAGAAGTGCAGCTTCCTACTGAAAACAAAAAGCCAGTTTAAAATAAAATAAAAAAAAAACAAACCAAACAACCCAAAACAAAAAAATTAAATTAAAAACCTGGAAAGGGGAATAATACTTTGGTTCCAGCCCTAGTGCCAAATGATACCAATATGCACCAAAATGTGCAAAAATCTCATATCAAACACATAAGGAAAAGGAGCTCGAAGCAGCAGCTTAAGGTTGGCCATACTTCACTCCTATATACTTGGATTTACAACTGTACAGGTCCGTGGGAACAGGTCCGTGCCCTTCCAGGGGCAGGGCGGCACTACCTCCGGCTCGGGAGGTGCACCCCGTTGACGAGAGGCAGGAGCGGAGGGTGGAGTTCCAGCTGGGTGAGCAGGGAGAAGTGGTCGGAGGGGATGTGGGGGTGTGGGCACCCAGTGATGTTGTTGTCCACCAGCCACTGAGGGTCCAAAGGCCCCAGGACTCCGAGCACGTTCATGTGGGTGTTGGAGTAGAAAATGTAGTCAATCACACCCTGCGGAGAGAGGGAGAGACACCGGCGTGAGAACGGGGACCGGCGAGAGGCACCGCCCTGGGACTGAGGGAAGACATCCCATTCCCATTAAACCACTGGCCACAGCCAGGCTGGAAGCCCAAAAATTCCAGGAAACCATAAAGCTGCGAGCGGCAGGAACAGCACGAGTAGGAAGCAGCAACGAAGCGCTTACAGGGGCCGAGGGAAAGACACCCAAGGGTGTCAGGGAATTAAGACAAATGGCTGCTTACTTTGAAATCAAAAGTGTAATTGGTGTAAGGCATCAAGTTGTTCTCGTAGGCGCTCTTGAGCTGGAAGCCGTGCGTGATCCTGCCTTCGGAAGCTCCGTTCTTCCCGTTCCCGCTGAAGTTCATGAGACACTCGTTGTAACGCAGCTCCTTGAAGTCCTTGTGGTTGTCAGCCACTATGCCGTTGCTTAAGTATTCCACTACACCTGTTGGCAAGGGGATTTAGGGACACAGGACTCAGGGAATGTTGGCCTCAGAGTTAAAAACCAAAACACCACTGAGACATGTCAGGAGATTGGAAAAGATGTTAACTAGCAAAGCAAATCCCTCTCCTTAGGAAGTTTTTATCAGGAACTCGCACGTTTCCTACTTGTTATTGCTTCTCCAGGCACGGGGATTTATTTAATGATTTATTTAAGATCTATTTGTGCTTTCCTACCCTTTTGTAGGTACCACCAGCTTTCCTGGAGCATAGAGCCGACTACAGAAAGCAGGTGACTCAACCAGAGGACTCCCAGTCTCTCCATTCAGATTCCAAAGACAGCTGTTCCTAGGGGAGCTTTCATCCATACCTACCCAGGGAAGTGGAAACCGCCCCGTCACCCTCAGAGGAAAACGAGGATTCAAACGCTCTAAAAAGGCAAGTTAAAAGTGAAGGTGAGTGTTACCTGAATCAGGCAGGGAGTTGAGATCCGCACACAGCACCAGAGGGATGGAGTTCAGATCTGCTGTCGGGCTGCTGGGCCTGCTCGAGGCTTTCTCCAGGATGTTTTTCAGTTCCGAGACAAACATCATGGTCTGGATGAGTTTCACATCTGAGTATTCGGGGTCCCAGTGCATGTGGGCATTGGCCACGATGAGCAGCTGCTTGTCCACGTGAAGCGATTTCATACCTGGACAGACAGGTACAATTCTGGCAGTGAAAGGTTGCTCCCCCACCTGTTAATCCTCGGGGTGTAGCTACTCAGGGCTCAGTGTCACACACACCATCAGATGGATGTGTTTTCATTGCTCAAACCTGCTGATATGCCTGCAGAATGTACCTGGGTGCGAAACACTGTCGCTGTTTTTACTGTTTACCTGAGCTGCAAGGTGGGGCACAAAGTCCCAGGCAGCTCCTTCCAGGCCTGGAATTTAGCTGTTCTCTTCCTTTGAAGCCATCAAACCCCAGCCACGCAGACAGAGCAGGGTGGCAATTTTATCTATGTTGGAATTGTCTGCTGCATCTTGATCAAACTTAATGAAAATGTGACAGTCAGTCAATCAAGAGGCAGGAAAAGATACCTGATGATCTCCTTCTTCCACGTCAGTATGTTAGCACTGACATCTAATTACTGGGGGAGGGTGGAAGGAGTCAATCAAGGGGAGAAAAAAGAGGGTTGAAAATAGAAGTTGAACATTATTGTCAACCACCGGTAAGAGCAAATGTGTGTAAATACAGTGGCCTTGGGAAAGCTGGGTTGTTCAAGCAGAATTTAACAAAGTAAGGAGGGACAAAAGCTTGGGAGTAGTATTCTAGGAGACGGATTTACTAGAAATAACTCGTGCCTTTCCGTGGAACTGAATAACCCCTGGAAACACCACCACGGCCATACTCACTTGCTCCAAATAATTCCTTGTGCACCTCCAGCACCACGGCGACTCCGATGTTGTCCTTGGTCATCACTCTGTTCAACATGGCTTCCGACCCTTCCGAGTTGGCCATGGCCACCTGGTTGAACTCCACCGTGTGCTTCTGCACCAGCGTGAACCTGAGCCAACACAGGGAACCACCTGTCAGCAGGGGTGACCCACAGCCCCCGTGGTGCCACTGTGTGAAACCCACTACTTGTCTGTTCTCACAGCCCTCCCTCCATCCCAAACCACTCCAGCTGTTTCTAGACGTGATCCGAAAGGTGTATTTTTGCTTCCGGAAACAGCGAAAACTCCCAAAGGGAGCTCAGGCTTTGGGAGACTTCATCCTAATCACTGAGAACTGTTCTGAGGTTTGAACTGTTTTTAAAAAGCTGCTCCTGCCCCTTACTTTTCAGTTTTGAAGAATATGGCGCAGCCATCCACATGCTTTTTCTCCTGCTCGGACATGATTTTGGCACGTGACTTCGGAGAAAAGAATCCGTCGTATCCCCGTTCCTTCAAGGCTGGCAGAAAAAGGGTGAAGTATTGCTCTGTTTCCACTTCCTGGAATTGAACACAAACACCTCGGGCTGAGAAGTGAAGGGGAACCCTTCCACGTGCCCGCCTTGGCTTGCGGTCAGGAGCTCCCACCGGAGCGAAGAGCTGCTGTTTGCACAAGCCATGTCACTGCCTACACTGGGAGTGCTTCCTGCTGGGAACTCGTCTGCATCCCTGGACACCCTGGGGTCCCTCACAAAGGTGAAGTGACAGGTGTCTTTGGAATAGCAGGAGATTGCACCCGGTATTTTTGACACTGGAATGCGGATACCGTCCTGGGTTAACACTTGGGAGAGGCTGACAGATATCCAGGAGGGATTGATATTTCACCTGGGAGCCCTTCGGCACAACGGTCTCTCACCGCTCTGGAACGAGACCTTCTCTTTGTGGTAACATTTGGGCTCCCAGAGGATTTCAGAGGTTGATCCCACAAGCACAGAGCTTGTATTGGGAAGCCCTGGAATTTGGTATCCAGCAGGTGACTATGATGTTCTCAAGGGAACATTTAATTCTAATTTAATGAACATTTAATTCATGTTTTCTGCTGCTGATGGAAAATGCAGTTATTTTCCAGTTACCTGAAGACTAATGATATCTGCATCACAGTTGACGATTTCTTCCATGATTCCCTTTTTCCTGTACTCCCAGTTGAGTGCCCAGGATGGGCAGTAGCCATAGAGCTGCCGGGTGGCGTATTTATCACACAACACATTGTAACACATAACTGTAAATGAAGCTGGAGGGAAAGGAAGAAAGAAAGGGAAAGGTTATCAACCCCTGAAAATTACAATTATGAACTCTTTCGCTTGGGCAAGAGTGGCTGGAAGAGTTATGACAAAGCCTAACACAGAAAAGAAATACCAGCATCCCAGTCAAATGACAAAAACTGTATTTACAGCACAGCCATACGTTAATTGTTCCAGCATAAATGAACACAAATTGCTGTTTTCACTCTGATCCAGGAAAATGAAGCCCAAGGCAAGTTTTTCAGTGTGGTGTTGTGTGAACACAGGGGTAAGAACCACAGAGTTACCTGAGGGCAGAATTTGGTCTCGTTCTTTTAAAGTAATCCATGGCCTTGGAGGCAGCTGCTCTGGATGAACTACAAAAAAAATTAAACCAGTGATTAATTCAGGGTTTCTCTTTGTAAGTTGTAATTTTTAAGTCAAAACGGTGACTGAACAATAATGTGCTTTGTACCCCCAACTCCCCGAGTCTTTTTATGCTCCAGGGGAGGTGAAAATCGTTTAAATGACTCTAGTAAGAGAAAAATTGTCAGTTGTAAGATTCATGACTGGTTTTGTCTCTTTTTTTTTTCAGATTTAGAAGCACCACCGAAATATTCCTGCAGCTTGAATAATCTCCTTAAGAAGGAGGGGTAAATCCTGGTGTGCTTCAGACATCCCTTCTCCAAGAACTTTGCCCTATATCCATCATCCCTGCAGTTGGGGGACATCAAGTGGCAAAGCAGAAGGCCCAGTCACAGAACCAGAAAGCAGGATTTAAGTCAGGTACTGGATGTTCTTAATGGCTTTGGTGTTTCTCAGTCTAAATTTGACATTCTGTGTGCATTCAGATGATCACTTTTCGTGGGAGCTACCAAAACGGCTTCAGCAAAGAAAACTTTGCACTTGGTTGGTAACTGAAGGGTTTCAAGCAGAAAGCAGTGGGAACAGCTGGCTGTAACACGGGAGAAGCTCAGAAAATCCATGCCAGCCTCTTGCAGGGTGTGTGAGGGTGTGTTTGTGGGCATGACTGGAGCCAACTGACAAGAATGCTAAAGCAGGTAGGAAACACTGCAGTGGATCAGAATCTTGTTTTAGCAGCAAACTCTACTTTTAAACCCCCCTTGTCCACCAGATCTGTAGGGGCTGTACCTGCTAGATTGTCAAGCATGTAGTTCAGTAGCTTTCGGGTTCCGTCTGGATCCTGGTAGAGGCTGAGAATATCTTGGGATAAAGGATTGCCTGCCAACAGCAGAAAACAGCAGCGGGGTGATGAGTGTAATATCTCACAAAAACTGTCAAAAAGCCTTGAGGTGACAGACAAAGCTTTTGAGCCCAGACCCCTCAGGAATTCCTGAGTACTTGTAGGATTATGGAACTGGAAGGAGCTCACCTTTCAAACCCAGGGTTTGTAGCTGGAAGAGCCGTCCAAGTTCATAAGGCAAAACCCGTAACAGATTGTTATTTAAAAGCAATTCCCTGCAGCAAATGCAAAAACACTTTGGGTGAGTATCACTGCACAAGAAAACTCCCGATGCACTGTACGCTGCTCATCTTCAAAGAGGACATTTTTCACCCTGAATTTATTATGGAAAGATATGCCAATCTTCCTGTGTCAAAGCACAGGGGAAATACACTCATTAGGGGGGAAAAAAAAAAAAAGCCACAAAACCTCCAAAACGCAAAATGAAACCAAGGAGAATTTAAACTGCAGGCAATCACCAAGCCTCAAAGAATGTTTCAGAGCAGAAGACTTACAGTGATACAGAAGACTTACAGCTTACAGTGATGTATCAGTGATCAGAAAAGAAGGGCAGTGAAGCCAAAAGTAATTACTAGAACTGAAGCTCTGCACCAATCTGGAATTTTTCAGGATTGTTTGGAACACAAGAACAGAAAGCAAACTGAAATTCTCGCTCCCGATCCCACGATACAAAATTTTGAGAGGTCAACCAGAATAACTCCTCTCACCTGAGAGACACCATGTTTCCTAGTTCTGCTGGTAAACTTCTGAGTTTGTTGGATGACAGATCCAGGTAAACCAGATTGTGGAGCTTGGCAATATCAGGTGGAATGCGAGTAAGATTGTTGTCATTGAGGTGCAGAGCCGTCAGGTGCGTCAGCGACCAGAGCGACGAACTTAAGCTCCGCACTCTGCCTGGAAGAGAAGAGCAAGGAACCACCCCTTCACTCTGGAACCATCGGATACAAACTGCAGGGGACGTCAGAATGATGAGATTTCCAGCGTGGAAGTCCAGTACCCCTCCTCCTCCCCCAGAAAAACCACGTTCCCAACAGGATCCCCTGCCTGGAAGCGTCTGCTGTGATCTGGGGCAGCAACAACCGGAATTCAAACCCCAACCAACTCACCTGAGATCTCCAACTCAGCCCAGTGTGACTTCTTCCCGTTGGCTACCTCTTCTGCTGACATGATGGTGTAAATTCTGCGAGGATCTGGAGGATCATATTTTTCCTTTGGCATCCCTGTTAGTCTGAAAGACCACCACAAGCGTTACCATCTGCCACTCGACAGCGCTCCTTCATCGCCCTGCCCCGGGGACACTCGGCAGCAACACGTCCTGGAGTTCATGTCTCATGTTCGTTAGCTCCATTTTCCCATCAACTATCCAGCTTTTCTCTTTTGTGCTTCTTCGTGTTTGGGAGCAGCCAAGACCTTTCCACTCCTAATGACCCAGGAGCTCAGGTAAAGTTCTTGTTAGTTCTGGGCACACGGGGCTCCAGCCCAGTGCAAAACAGGAATATCAGATGCACTCATGTCCTAAGGGCACACCAGATTCATCCCATCTCATTGTCCTGACTCTAGTCAGAAGGGAGCTCCAATGTCCCACTCAAAAACATCAGGAGACATTTTCTTCCATACCTCCCCAGACCGTTGTGCTGAGCAGGACTGGGTGTGTTTGGTTATAAAACACAAGGTTAGGTGAGTTTGCTGTTTCCTGGTCTTTTCTTCCCCAGACACACAAAATCCACAAGCCTCGATTTTACACAAATCCAAAGCAGCTGCTCCACAGGATGCAGCTTTTCCCCCACACCTCTCCTACAACTGGCTGCAATAGCTGTGAAGCTCTTAAAACAGCTACGTTTGAGGAAACAAGCTGAGGTTTTTTTCAGCAAGTCCAACCAAAGAGACATCCCACAGACCCTTTAGGAGCGTACAGCACTGCAGTTTGTTCCAGCTGACGCAGGCAGCCGAAGCCGCGCTCCGGCATCGCACGGCAGCGGGAGCTGGCAGGGCTGTCCCCTGAGAAGGGTCTCAGTTACAGGTCTGCTGCTTCCTTCCCGAATGCCCAGGGAAATTCCAGGGGCAAATGCGAGCCCCACATCTAATTATAGCCCCCTGCTATTTCCAGGTGAAGTCACACGGCGAGGAGAGCCACGGGATAAGAGGATTCTGCGCTCACACTGCCCGGAGCGGGGCCGTGAATGAACGGGTTACTTAAGGACAAGGGATTAGACCTGAAATCCTTCTCTCCTCGTCCCAGAACCCCAAAATCAAACAACACAAACAGGCCGTGCTTTGGGAGTGCTAAATCTCTACTGCTTGGGTTTTGCTGGATTTATCTTCACTCTTCAACAAGTGCATGTGCAGAACTGAGGAGCACTTGAACAGATTTCTAAGGGGAAACACAAAAGCTCTGAGGGGGAAAATGGAGCAGAAAGCCAGCAAAGGGTTTATGGCAGAAGGGAGCTTTTACAATCTCTACGTCTTAATCATCAGACATTTGAACTGATCCAGGTGGGTCTTTGTTTTGCTGTTTAATCTGTCACACTCGAAACAATCTGTACTTCAGCACATCTGGACCCAGGGCATGGCAAACTTTGCTGTCCAGCTCCCAGGATCTGGGCGAGTGCTGCGTGGTGGAAGTCCCTAAACCCACGGTGGTGAGACCATCTGAGTCACCCCATGCTCATGCACAGCAGCCCAGAGATGACCACTGCCCAGGTGACACCATCCGAAAGCTCCGGGACTGCAGTTTCCTCCCCGGCAGGGCACCCAATTAAATTATGTTGAAGTATCACTCATTAAGACAAGTGCTCTGCCAATTCAGAGTGATTGGTGGCTGTCAGAGGCCTTCCAAAGAAATGAGCCCTGAGCTGTGAGGCAAAGACACGCACATTTTTCAGCTGTTACTCACTTTAATACGGCTTTGAAATCGCAGTGAGTCAAACAGGCAGCAGTGTCATTGCCACAGTTACAGAAAAGGGAAAACAAACCTAAATCAAATATACTTTTTTTTTCCTTCTACATAACAGCAACATTGAGCAAGACTTGAAAGCCACTATGTGTATTTCTTTTTTAGGCCAAAAACGAATTTCGCCTCGTTCGCCTGCTTGTCCTGGAACTAAAACAATATCCAGAAATCCCAGCCTGCTTTTGCTCAGTCTTCAGGGAGCTACACTGAGTTCCCTGAATCAGTTAATCCCAAAATCAGATGCGCATGAGTGCAAATTTTCACTGGCTTTTCTTCTAAAGGCTCGCCTTGGAAAACTTCAGACTTCGAAAACCTGCTCTCTGCTACAGATCTAGTCATGTAACCGTATAGTGTGACCCTGATTTTGTGTAAATCAAACACAAAATCTCTTCCTGATTTTGTGTAAATTAAAGAAAACCTGAAGTTGACAACACCGGTGCCTTAGTAAGAACAATATTTAAGCTCTGGGGGTTCCTAACATAAGTCTTTGGGTCCGAGTCCATCCCCAAAAACCTGAAGCTCGCTGGCAGAGCAGGATTACTAAGTGTGGTCCCAGGTGAGCTTAAGCAGCCCTATCTTAGGTGTATATAAGAAGGGCCAGGGGCAGGTCCTGGGTTTGCCAGCAGTAGGCCTGTGCCTGCCTTTTTTTTTTGACTTCTGTTTTTTTATGCTGTTTTACTGACTGCTTTTTTCGTGTATGGCCCACGCTGACTATCATTTAAAGCCTGGAAAAAAAAAAAAGGCAGAATGGAACAGTACTGAAGGTGTGGAGTGTCAAAGAAGAAAGGCTGAGCTGCGAGGCTGCACCACAGGCTTTTAATCTGAAGGTATGTTTTTCTGGGCAACAAACAACAGGAGCTTCTGGGTTTCAGACAAGCAGTCCCTTCCCCAGGGAGGGTGGAGGATGCATTTCTTAAATTACAGTGACTACAACACGTTTTGTTTAAGCTCTTTCATACCTCAATGCATAAATGAATTGCCTGTCTCTAACGAGGGAGCAAATGGAAAAGAGCTGTGGCTGCATCTCCCTGCAGCCCTGTGCTCATGGATGTCTGGAACAACTCCAAACCCTCCCTCCATCAGAGTGACATTCTTTGTGATCCTTTTTTTTTTTTTTTCCTTCCCCCAGCCTCTGTATATGGATGAGTCAAAGTGCTGAAGCATTTTGAAAACTATGCAGCAGACAGGCCTGAATCACTCCTCCTTCCTCTGCGCCGGCCAGCCCCTTCCATAGGGTGATCCCTGCCAGGAATCTCCGGTGCTGACGGGGCGGGAGCGTGTGCGTGTGTGTACACACGGGCACGTGTTGTTTAACGCTGGGAAGTCGGACTGGGAGCCGGAAAACATTTTTATCTGTTGATCTGTGATGTGAATATCTGTTTATGTATTTTGTAAGCAGGCCCGAAGGGCTGCAGAGGGAGAGGAGAAAGGCTCTCGTCTGCACTAAGCGTGCTCTGCTCTCAGGAGTGTGTGACAAAAGTCTCCCCATTCTGGCCTCCCTAAGGAGCTGAGAAGCACAGCCAATACCCACTAATACAAAAATTGGCTCAAGTACTCTGGGAGGGGGGAAGGAAAATCAGGAAAATCAGGTGGTTTTTTTAAGGGTATGTTAGGGGGATTTTAAAAAACACTGGTAATAGTGGGATATGTATAGATGTGTTAGCTTACGGTAAACTACTTTGTATATCCATATATATGGTATCTACTGTGCATAGACCAGCAGGAAAATATTGGGGAGTGGGGAATTTTGATAGCCTTTTGCTTGGATCTGAGCCTTCTTCACGGTTCTTCCCTGCAGGAATGTGTCCAGCCACCTCTGTGTCCACTGTCTCTACCAAGAGCCCAACGAGCACCCAGAGTGTACCATCCCAGGTAACTCTCTCTTTTCAGTTTCTTATTCCAAGTAACCTGTTTGGGAGAAAAGATTAGCAGGGAAACAAATACAAATGCCTCCTCGTGGGTTTTAAATTAAAAAAAAAAACAAAAACAATTTCTGAGGAGATTTCAAACGATCTTAGAGGAAAGTATAATCAAAGTACATAAATAGAGACTCCTTGGCCATGAGTAAGTATCCTACAAACAGGAAGAGAGTTAAACATCTTTGCAACCCTCTGGTTCAGCCTTTTAGTTCCTTAACTTGAATCTTTTGGGGATCTCTGTACTGGTGCTGATAGGATGGAGAGCTGTTCCTCTCAGGTGTAATTGCCCAGGATGTTTGTGCTGGGAAGGAGAAGGGAACAGACTCAATCCTCTCTGGCACAGAGCACAGGGAAATAAAAGTTGGTGGTGGGAACAGGGACAGGTAAGAGGTAACCATGAACCTGCAGCTGGCAGTAAATTCAGCAGTGGTGGGATCTCAGGGGGCTTCCTGTTATCACTCCAACAGAGACCATAAAAGGCCAGAGAAACAGAGCAGTCATAGAAGCAAACCCTGGAGAAAACCAGCAAAAGCCAAGGGGAGGAGCGGGAAGGGAGGGAACGAGCTGTATTTGATTAATTCTAGAGCCAACTGGCACACACTTGATGGAAATGTTAATTGTCCTACTGACATATACCCACTAGTTATTCCCCCCTTTCCTCATCTCCTCTAAATGAAGCACAGGCTCTTTTCTTAAATCACAGGTAACATAAGAACATCCAGGTTTCCACCCTTCCTCTTCCTCCGTGTCACACCCCCACTTACAAGAACAGCTGAACTATTTACTGCATGGCAAAACTAAATAGCATTACGTAGGGAATTTTTATTTCTGTACTTAGTTAACATTCAGTTTTCACTCCAAAAGAACAGTTTCTGCTCTGCTGGAAGTAGCCAGTTACCTCTCACTGTGTGCATGGCAGCTCCTGAATATCTGCACCGAGTCACAGAGTGATACCTGCCTTTGTCTGCAGGTGCCTTTTATACTTTTATGCTTTCAGAGGAGCTCTTGGGGCTGGTTTACATGCAAACACGGGGCAGGTCACTCCCAAAAAGTAAGGCTCTGCTTAACAGAAATGCTGACAAGGGGCTATTATAGAGCAAGAAGAGTTTCAACAGCCAGCCTGTAAATAAATCTAATCAGAAGCCCCCAAAGGGTTGGTTTAAATAGTATATTTATTTATTTACGCGAGTATCTCTCAGTGTTCCAGAGAAATGACCCATTTGCAATGCTGCTCCAGCCCCTGGAGAGTGCTGGGCTTCTAATGAGATCCAGGACAGAGTGGCTTAAAGGATTAGGAACTGAAGTCACTGGGAGCGTGGGGAGGGAAGCGGCCAGTGCCGGATCAAGACAAAAACGCTC